TCTGATGAGTTGTCTGCATTTGAAGAATACAGCTGCTCTTTTTTAAAGTGTGTGTGTGTGGGGGGGGAGGATTCTATGGCTATCCCTGAAGCTAGGCCTTTTACAATGAATCACAGTGTCTAAACAGACCTACGTGCTATGATCCCATTTGGCAATAATGAGGGTCTTGTATTCTGCAGACATATAGACCCACTCACAGCACTGAGCTGCATCTGCAGTCTCTCATTACAGCAGCACACATTACAAATGTGTGACATTTGAACTGGAATAAAAATTAAAGTTGTCTTTTGCTATTGTTTACATATTTACCCTTTGTTTTGGTGTTTCCATAGCAATAAAAAGAAGCCACATGCATTACAGGTTGGAGGGTTTCGATTATGAGCCTGCAGCTTTCTACCAAACTGAAATTCTGAACACAGCCACACCCCCTAGTGGCTTCTTGCTGAAAATAAGGGCTTTTCAAACTCCCCCGAACAATTTTCTTTTGGCATAAAGCACTTCCTATCATATGTTACTGTTCTTAACTCTGTAAAGCATCATATTTTATAATAAATTAAGTTGAATTTGATCCATGGTATAGCAGCTTATTGATGGTTTACCCCGTGACACTAAAGAATTCAAAGTGTCTCTTACATAGCACTCAGACCAAGTATTTTTTTTATTGCAACAGAAAAACTGTTTTGTAAATTTGTTCTAAGCAGACTCATCTCATGTAATTAGGATAGCTTATCTTCCGTGCCACCAAACATCTGAAATGCAGGCTTTCAGGCTGGGCCAACCTCTTCAGAAAGAATAAAGATGGTAGCTCAGCTCTCAAAACAAAGCAAAATGCAAGCCAAAAGAATTGGAGTATTCCATCCACCTGGAGTATTGCATCCAATTCTGGATTCCCCACGGACACACAAGAGAAAGTCCAGCAGAGGGCAACAAAAATGATGACAGGTCTGGACCACATGATTTACGAGGAGAGGCTGCAGGTCCGGACCACATGATTTACGAGGAGAGGCTGAGGAACTTGGATTTATTTAGTCTATAGAAGAGGAGAATGAGGGGGGATTTGATAGCAGCCTTCAACTACCTCAAAGGGAGAGCATTTCCAAAGAGGATGCAGAGAGGCTGTTTGTAGTGGTTTCAGATGATAGAAAGAGGAGCAATGGTCTCAAGTTGTAATGGGGCAGCTATAGATTGGATATTAGGAAAAACGACTACATCAGGAGGGCAGTGAAGTACTGGAATGGGTTACTTAGGGAGATGGTGGAATCTCCATCCCTAGAGGTTTTTAAGTCCCGGCTTCACAAAGCCCTGGCTGGGATGATTTAGTTGGGGTTGGTCCTGCTTTGAGCAGGTGGTTGAACTCAATGACCTTCTGAGGTCTCCTCCAACCCTATGAGTCTATGATTCTAATTGGAAAAACTCCCAGATTAACCACTCCATCCTTGACTGAAATTTGGATTAGGCAGATCCAACAACATTGGTTAAGATACTAGGTGAAATCCTGGTCCAGGTTTCCACATCATGTCTTTGAATTTTGGAAGTCCTGAGGTTTCCCCTTATTGGGTGCTTGAGGGAATAGAGTGATCCATTCTGAGGAATCTCCATGCTGAGTAGACCTAGTTGCACACAAGATTCAGAAGATGCTCACCCTTTGCTCTCACCTACCCATAGTAAGGTAGGAGGCAAGTCTGGGAAAGGTAGAGTGTCTTGGAGAAGTATTCAGAGCGTTTCCATGTTATAGAATACATACACCAAACTAAGACTCTTGAGTCAGTTACCACCCAGAGCTGGAGTAACGGAAAAGTACCCATCCATCTTCACCTGGTTTCCCTTCTATACTTACAACCCTCTAACAGAGATTCAGGTAACCTAAGAAAGGGCACTTAGGGTGTATCTAGACTACGTGGCTCCATCGATAGAGCCATGTAAAGTAGTTTACTCGACATAGTCAGTGAAGCAGGGATTTAAATAATCCCTGCTTCATTGGCTATGTCGAGTAAACTACTTTACATGGCTCTATCGATGGAGCCACGTAGTCTAGATACACCCTAAGTGCCCTTTCTTAGGTTACCTGAATCACTGTTAGAGGGTTGTAAGTATAGAAGGGAAACCAGGTGAAGAGTTCTATTCTATAGACTGTCCTAATTCACTGCTTTTCAGATCCTGATCTTTTCCCCTAGAAAGTCAGGTAACAGTACCACTCACTAAATTAAAAATATCACCCAGCATTTATATAGCATAGTTCATCCAAAAGATTTAATTTAAAAGCACTCTACAGCTGTATGTAAGAATCATGATCCCTATTTTTAAAATAAGGAAACAAGCACAGCAAAGATATTTCCCAACATCAAGGAGTGACTTGATGGCAGGAGACAAAGCCTATCTCCTTAATTTCAGTGACATCCTCTTGCCGGTAGAATTCCTCTCCCAGACAGAGAAGGAGATTTAATTTATAAAGCATAAAAAAACAACTCCCAACCCTTCCACACCCAATCTAGGTTATGGTGGGAACAGATGAGATGTGCACTGGTACTAAAAATTCCAGAGAGCAAAGGACATATTCAATCCATTGTTTGTCATGGAAAGAATAAATGGTGTAAGATTGGATACATGTTTAAGTAATTTTCAGTTTTATGAGTGCCAATTACTGTACTATCTTGAAGCATTCTTTAGATTGATCACCCTGTACTATTTTATGTATCTCAAACGAATGGCTGACATTCAGCTGAAGAAGCATTTTCTTTTTAATTTTTCAGTATGATGTGGCTTACCAAATAAAGGAACATGACATTTCTCATGATCTTTGCCAAATGAGGAAATCATCTGGGGATTTTTGACACTTGCAAATAAATATATGAGCTTCATTAGCTTTGTATGATTTAAAAGCACAAAAAATGACCATATATATTGTCTGATTTTACATAGTAAAAATATATTCAAATTTCATGAAAAGGTTTTGACCTATGTTTACAAAAATCAGCACCCTCCTTCCCAAACAACCAGAAACTTTGCAATGGGACAACATAAAGCAAAGGAATAAAATTGGGTCAAGCTATAATTATGTTTGATTAGTATATCTTCTAGGTCCCTTTCCAAGCACTGTGAACTACCATATAGCATCTCAGGTTTATAGTAGCCCACAAAATACACATATACTTTAACCACCAGACAAGCCAATTCCAGTACCTCTCTGCAAGTTACCAATCTGATGTCAATACCAGCAGGCCTTAACACAGATCAAGTTCATTAATGGTGTTAGAGAAGAAACAGGCGACCCAGGAGCAGATGGGGTAAACGGAACTGTTTTATTGCCCACTCATGTTAAACCACAGACCTCCAACACATCATTCTAAGTGGCAATAATTTGGCACCAATTACACCCTTTTATCTATTTTAGTATGTTAATTCACATGTCCATCACTACTTTTCCTAAAATCTTATTTAATGTTAACTCCTACTCAATGAATATTAATAAGCAGGTGATTAATTGAATTATACCTGCCCCTGTTCATTGTTTACTGGTTTTTAGTTGAATCAGCATTACATAGGGTATGTCTACACTACAGTGTTATTTCGAAATAACGCATCTACACACAAAATGCATTTTGAAATAGCATTTTGCTATTTCGAAATAGCACGTCCACACTGAGTGGACTCTGAATCGCATTTAAGGCCGGCCAGAACCAGTTCTGGCAGAGCACGAGGTCAGGACTTACTGTCTAGGGATGCTGCCTGAGGCTATCTGAGGTCTGTGCTTAAAGGGACCCCCCCCGGCCAGCCCGTTATCAGGTTTCCCTGCTTGCTTGTCTACCTCGATGAGGGACAGCAAAGCATTTTGTCTCTGCATGCTCTGGTTGCCCTCACTCAGGACACCACAGCACTCTGCAACATGGAGCCAGAGCTGCCCCTAGGCACTCTGGTGCTTCTCTTGGATGTGTTGCTGTGATCCTGGCTGAACTTTCTGCAGGCTGCCATCCGGGAGGTCCATTGGGGGAGCTGTCAGTATCCAGGAGGCCCCGCAGGAGAGCTTCTACCCTGAGGAGTACTAAAAGCCTCTCTGGTCTGCCCCACTGGGGACTTGTGCCTCATTCCTCCCCGACATCCCCCTTCCTGATGTCAAATAAAATATATGTATTTTCATGAACACAAACTCTCTTTATTTAACAAAACTGGGGAGGGGGGGAATGAAACTCTGGCAAGACTGGGGAAAGGAAGCGAGAGAGGGGAGAAGAGAGGGTGGGGGGGAGAACCTAGGAGGAGGGAGCTGGAAGGGGGAAGCAAGGGGAAGAACGGGGAGGGAAAGCTCAGGGCTCAGGGTTGGAGGTCTTGCCAGACCAACTTGATTGTCATGCAAACCTGCTTCTGGGTTCGCATGTGGCCTTTGGTGGCCAGGCTGGCAGCTATCCTGTCATAGATGGCCACATTCCTCCATCTAGTGCGGAGATCATGGACGTTGGAGGCATCCCCTCCAAACCTGAATAAGGTTCATGATCTCTACCCTGAACCAGGAAGGCTCCCGCCTTCTCTGGGCCCTGGCAGGCTCCTGGGAGCTGGCAGACTGCTCCTGGGGAGCGGTGGGGGCTGGCTGGCACGGGCTGCCTGGCTCATGCTGTGGCCACTGGATCAGGTGCAGCGACTGCTGGCTCTGGGCTGGAAGTCTTGGAGCTGGCGCAGTGACTGTGGCCAGAGTCTACCCTTTAAGGGCTCCGGGGAGGGGGAAAGGGAGAGGAGTGTTCTTGGTTGAGGCTGGAGTGGCCACCAGGGCACCCTGGGAAGGCTAGAGGCCCTTTGTTTCAAAATAAGGGTCTACATAGCACTTATTTTGAAATAGCTATTTTAAATTTGGCGTTATTCCTCATAGAATGAAGTTTGCCAAATTCGAAATAAGTGCTTCGCTATTTCGAATTTATTTCATAATAGCAGTTTGGCTGTGTAGATGCTAGGAAAGTTATTTTGAAATAAGGGCTGCTATTTCGAAATAACTTTGCTGTGTAGACATACCCATACTGTCTTAATCATCAATTTATAGGGAGGGGGAAATCACTTTGCCCCTGAAAATGTTTTTACAGAACAAGTGCAAAGACAAAACAAGACACTGTTCAGTGCAACCATCTTCCAAGACTGCCAGAACAAAGGGGAAAAATGTGTTTAAAGGGCAATGGCAATTTTGGCAAGACTCCCTAACAACTTATGTATAGCCATCTCAGACCCCTATTAATTTTTACGTGTCCCAACAAACTGCTCTTATGTGTCTTGTTTGGAATGTTTCCTTACATTGCAGATGAAAACACTGGCCCCACTGAAATCCTTGGGAGTTTTGTTTAGGCTCTGGTGTATTCAGAATGTCAGCCTATATCTTGTGGCTTCTTGGTTGCTGGCAGGTGGGTCAGGCGAGGCCATAGAGCTTCACAAAGAGCTTTTTGGGACAGCTAAGATGGGGACCTCCAACATGCAGACAGGAGGTGGCTTAGAATGTTGTGAGTTATCAGAAATGGGTGGGACTCAGTTATAAGGAAGGTTTCATGTTTTATTTTGAATAGGGTCTGCAAGTATGGGATTGGCAATAAGAATCCCCTACTTTTCTCCTTATGAACCACAATTGGTTATTTATATGTGCCATATGCGTACATTACAGACAACCAAAAAGCCTTGACCTTTGTTTTGTTTGTATTGTCAGAATAAGCTTGTGGCTACTGTAGTTCATGATAATTCTCATGCATGACAAAAGAGTGGGTAGCCTAGTGGATAAAGAGGCTTATCTAATTTATGGCAGCCTTCCTGGGTCATCTGAAGAAGTGGGCTGTGCCCAGGAAAGCTCATACCACCATCTACATGTTTTGTTAGTCTATAAAGTGCTACCAGACCATTTGTTGTTTTTTTCTATAACAGACTAACTTGGCTACCCCCTGAAGTTCCTGGGCTGCCATGGAGCTCAGAATTCCCTATAGTGCTACGTGCTGTTAACACATGCCCCATAGCCCTCACCTCCACTCCAGAAACTGCAAGAGGGCCAGGTAGGTTCACTCACTGTTTGTCCTGCACTGGGAAATTGTCTCCCAGCCCACAGGAGGTTCCTTTGACTCTGCTTTATGGCTAGAACATGGTCCAGAATTGGCACCCATCTTTTTAAAGCACAAATGGCCGAATGTCAGTCCTGTCCTGAAGAAACAGTCCAATAGTTGCACTGGTGACAATGAGAGCAGATTTGGCTTAGGATATTTAAAAGTAGCATAATTTTATGGGGGATATTTTTTTCAGAAAAGACAAGAGTAGATTCTGTATAACAAACTGACCACAGCATTAAGTTATGCACATCCAGTTTAGGCACCCTTTTGCAAACACACCGAAACAGTTGGATAATGCAGACTTTCTATCGCAGTAGTTCTGGCTTGCAGCACCAGCTTTTGATGGGGGCCTCATGCTTTTCTGTCATTTCCTTTCTGCTTCCCTCCCTACACCCATCTGAAGTTGAAAGGCTCCTCTGCTTCCCATGAATTTGTGATGGAAACAGATGAGACCCAAGAGAGAAAGGGACGACCTTTCACTTCAGCAGCTTGGCAGAAATGCAGCTGAAATCTTCAGATCCTCCTCCAGGCTCTGATAATCCTTGTAGAAGCCCCAGATGTTGAAAAGATTCTAGGGGGATCCTCTCCTTTTCTGATTTCTGCAAGGCAAAGGCAGTGGTGATCATATAACAGAGATTATAGAGCTCTGCATTTGCTGGCCGTGTATGATTAGATTAAGAGATTATTAAATTACTTGCACTCCCTAAAGATCAAAACAATGGTAGCAAGAGAAGAACTGGAGAAAAAATCTGACTTCAGATTTCTTTGCACAGGATTTATTAAAAGGCAAGACATTTTTTTAAAATTCAACAGACAGTATAAAAATATGATATTGGTTAAATTAAAGGGAAATTCTGATACATCAAGGTCACTATTATAATCCATGTGATTATTGTTATGTTTGCAATATTGAAAATTCAAACAAATTCCCATAAAATTCTATGGGCAGGGAGTTTGCTACAAAAAGAGGGGGTATGTCTACACTACCCCGCTAGTTCGAACTAGCGGGGGAATGTAGGCATACTGCAATTGCAAATGAAGCCCGGGATTTGAATTTCCCGGGCTTCATTTGCAATTGCGGTATGCCTACATTACCCCGCTAGTTCGAACTAGCGGGGTAGTGTAGACATACCCAGGAAGAGGAAGGGTGATTAAGAATAACAAAAGGCTGGGCATTCAAGTAATTGGAGGATCATCATGAAAACATTGCCGGTACTCCACTTGGAAGATGGAAGAAAAAAAAGAGTAGGAGTGAGTGTTGTGCGGCTGGTATTTGCATTTGAACCACTGCTGTTAAACTTATAAATGTTCTTGAAAATGGGGTGAACACGGACTAATCCAAAGCTAACTGCATAGAGCTACAAAGGGATCTCACGAAACTGCGTAATTGGACAACACAGGGGCAGATGGAAGGAATGTACATGGAAAAATATAATCCCAACTATAGATACAAAAATGATGGGGTCTAAAATGGCTGTTAGCACTCAAGAAAGAGATCTTTGAATCATTGTGGATAGTTCCCTGAAAACTACCATATGCAGTGGCAGTCTGAAACCCAAAAAACTAACAGAATATTGGGAATCATTAGAAAAGGAATAGATAATAAGACAAAATACCATATTGCCTCTATATAAAGTCATGGTATGCCCACATTTTGAATTCTATGTGCAGATCTGGTCACCCCAACTAAAAGAAGATATATTGTATTTTGAAAGGTATAGAAAAGGCAACAGAAATTATTAGGGGTAAGGAATAGCTTCCATATGAGGAGAGATTAACAAGATTGGGACTTTTCAGTTTGGAAAAGAAATTACTGAAGGATGGGGGATATGTTAGAGGTCTAAAAAATCATGAATGGCGTGGTAAAATAGAATAAGGAAATGTTATTCATTCTTTCATTAACATAACACAAGAAGCTGACAATTAAATTTATAGGCAGCAGATTTAAAACAAACAAAATAAATTATTTTTTCACAGTCAATTTGTAAAACTCTATGCTAGGAAATGGTGTCCCTTGCCTCTGTTTTCCAGAAGCTGAGAATGGGTGACAGAGAATGGATCGTGATAATTGCCTCTTCTGTTTATTCCTTCTGAGGCACCTGACATTGGCCACTGTTGGAAAACAGGATACAGGGCTAGAAGGACCTTTGGTCTGACCCCGTATGGCCATTCTGATGTTCTTATATAGATCTGAAATGTATCTGCCCTTTGCTGTAACCCACCAGATAGAGTCCAGGAGTCCTAACAGGGTTTCTCTCTCCACAAAGTTAGTAAAATTTTAAGGCTAACTAATGTCCCTTAAGTGTCCCTTGTCACTGATGTCAGAATATGTTAATGCTAGAGCTGAGTGGATCTAATATTTATTCAATTTTCTTTCTTTGATATAGGAATTAGATACAGTGCTCCTGTCAGCTAACTGCACTTTGTAGCACCTGGATAAAGGTGATGTGGAGGTGGAAGGCGAATGCGGTTGGTTCCTCCCCATTTGGTGTTTGGCTTGTACTGAGCATGCTCAGTTACACTGATGAAGCCTCTGTCCTCAGTCTGCCCCCCTATGCTTTCACTCTCTCCGCGCCACATCATGGCATGCACAGGTCACCCCCTACCACAATCTGAATGGTGCCCCTGCACACAGCACTCATCCCATGAGACATGGCTGACCCCAGCACTCCCTCTATGCCTCCGTGGCTGCCAGCATTCCCGCAGCACCTTCAGATGCCCCTGGACAGGGATAAAAGAGGGCACCAGCCTGGACTGGTGCAGAGATCCTGGACCTCATCAAGGTCTGGAGGCAAAAAACCAACCTCCAGGAACTTCACACTAGGAGGAGGAATGCAGATGTCTATGGCCATACAGCTGCCAGCCTGACTGACAAGGGACATATGCGGACCCTCGACCAAGTCTGCAAGAAAATAAAAGAACTCTGTCAGGCCTACCTTAAGGCCAGGGAGAAAAGTGCAAGCTCTGGGGTGGCTCCTCACACCTGCTGCAACTATGGCTGGTCCAGACTTCCCATGTAGGGCTTCATGAGGTAGGGGAGCTAGGGTTAGGCTGTGTCACCCAGGATGTCCATGTTCTCAACCCAGTGGGGGGAAAAGGGCCAGCATGCATCTTCTGGAACAGGCTTGAGTTCCGGAAGATGTGGGTATCATGTGCCTTCCCTGACCAGCCAATGTCAATGTTCATGAACCATTCATTGTGATTCATCAGGGCCTACAGCACCATTGAGAAATACCCCTTTCTGTTGATGTAGTCTGAGGCATGGCAGTTGGGGGCCAGGAAGGGGATGTGTGTACTGTTTATGGTCCCCTTGCAGTTGGGAAAGCCCATGGTAGCAAAGCCATCCATGATGGGGTCGACGTTGCTCTGAGTGACAACCCTCCGTAGCAGCATAGTGTTGATGGCCTTGATTACCTACAGGAGCATGGCCCCGACTGTGGAGCTCCCCGCGCTGAACTGGTTCCTGACGGAGCGGTAACTGTTTGGTGTGGCGAACTTGCATTGGCCGATGATGACACACGTCTGGAAGGGGATAGCGAGTCTCATGTGGGTGTCCTGTCACCTCAGGGCAGGGTTGAGTCACTCGCAGAGCTGCAAGAAGGTGGCCTTCCACATGTGGAAGTTGTGGAGCTACTGCTGGTTGTCCTGTCACATCAGGACAATGTGGTCCCACCAGTCTGAACTGGTCTCCTTCCTCCAGAAGCAGCATTCCATGAGGTGCAGGGAATTCAGGATCATTTGCTGCAGCAGGAGCCCCAGGGCCTGGGTGAAGGGGTCCTTTGGTTCGGGCTGTTTGTCATTCTGCAGCAGCATGTGAGCGGTATGGACAAACTGCACCGTGAGGCGCAGCATGAAGCCCAGCTCCATGGTGTCAGTGCTGTGGCATCCACAAGGGCAACCAGAGCACACAGCGTGAGTTTGGTGTGCCACGAAGGGGGAGGCAGTGGAGGAACGGCGTGTGAGATGCGGCCGTAGAGAGGAGTCCCTGTAAGCACATGCCTCATCTAGCCTCAGCAAGCAGCCACAGTAAGTACCCAGCCTCCTGGTGCTCTCCTTTGTGCTTCTGAGGGCTTTAAATCTGATGCAGGCTCCAATCAGTGTGGACACGCTATTTCAAAATAATTCTGAGCAATTTTGATGGTGCCTTGTACTGTGGCTGTTCTAATTCAAAATTATTATTTCGGGAGTTATAATTTCAAAATAAGTTATTTTGAAATAATTTCCTAGGGTAGACATGCCCCCAGTATCTATACCTTATCCATTTTAGAACAAAGCATAAGGTCCACATGAACCCAGAGGACAGTTTGCAGCCTAGTTAAAGCATCTAACTAAGGACTGTACCCTTACTACCACAGATGAAACAATTTCAGGCAATCTCATGAATGTGTCTAGCCAATGGAAATATGCAGAAGTCAGTGGGGTTTGGATCAGCCCCCAAATTTCCACACAAATTAATAGATCAAGAAGCTGAGTACTTCAGTAAAGTAGTGGTTCTTCCTTAGTAATAAATGATGCATCAGGCACAGCTGTAAGGGAAAAGACCTGTCTTGAGCATGCACAGAGACCAATGCTACATGCTGAGACTCTAGATTTTTAAATGCAAGTAATTTGTGCCAAACACACATCAGAGAGGTGGAGAACTTATGCTGACAGGAGAAGCTGTCTCATTGGCATAGCCAGCATCGTCAGTAACTACTACAGTGACACAAGGTACAATGTTGTAAGTGTAGACAAACCCAGACTTATGCCTGGACAATCCTAACAAGCAACCAATGCTGCAGAGGAAGGTTAAAAAAAAAAAAGGTCACTGCCAAGCTGATTGGATGGAAAATTCCTTTCTGACCCCCAAATCAATTAGATCCTGAACATGTGAGCAAGTCCTACCAGCCAGGCATGTGAGAGAATGAGGTGGTCTGGTTTATTATCTTCTCTGGCACTTATTTGCTCTGGCCCCAATCCTTAAGACATATGCTTATTATTAAGGTTGAGAGTTGTCCAATTCTTTTCAACAGACTTGCTCATGTTTCAGCTGTGCATATGCATTAGTGTTTGAAGGAGCAGAGACTGTGTAACCATTTAAATGTCTCAATTCCTTATTTTCCTGAATTAAATCATAATAATTACTCACCATTGTAAACCAATGATCTGGGGATAAAAAGTCCCATATATAAAAGGGCTAAATAATGTTTGCATTTAATTATTTTATTCATTCCTCCCCTCCCCTTTTGCTCTATAGTCCTCTCCCAGTTTTAGATGCAGTCATCACCCTAGCTATGGGTTTAATCAAATAAGCTCCATATGATGACACTCATAATCTTATTATGCACTCATCATGTTCTGAACATTACATTTCAGCAGCAACACTGCTGGCTCTTGCACTTGGACCACTTCAGATTGCCTGTTGGCTAGGTGACAGTTTCCTGGATTTTTTTTCCTTTCAGATTCTTGTATCGTTACCATACAAACACAAGTTCTTTCAGATTGAAGTCTGGAGTGAAGGCAGATCTGTAAGACTCCAGCAAGTCCTTTTTTTAATCCCTCTTTACTGCAGTTCTACCTTTTGGTTGGTTGCTTAGCGCTTGTGGTTATGCGCTCTCCA